GTGCTGTGCTGTTCTATTTGCAATTTGATAAGATGTTTTGCTCGCAACCATAAACAATACTCTTGAATTGTGTTCACTTCTGAGTGCTTCCTCTACGTAGGTTTTATCACTCTCCAAAGAATTAGAAGTGTATTTGAATGCATGATAACAAGATTCCAATAGTTTAGAGATATTGATAGAGAGCTTTGTGAACATCAGAGGCATACATACATACATATGTATACAGATATATATTATATACATACAATTTTTGCACCTCATAAATTTGTTTAAACTCATTGCCGTTTGAAATTGGATTTCCAGATTTCGTGTTAAAAATGCAGACTTACTCTATCTGAGGCTGTTAAATTGATTAATTAGTTGAATTAAATAATCCTCCCACCACAAATTCGATCATCGAATGAGTGATTCGATCGAAACTTATTTTAATTAATTTTTCTTCTACAACGAAAGCACTCACAATAAATATGCTCAATTCGGAATAAATTTATTGCACAATACTGTAAATATATGGATATCAAGGATTTTACATCGTATATTTTTCTAATTTTTGTTCAGTAAGATTCAATCTGAAACAATTTGGTTCAATCGTCGAAGCTCACGTTCATACCTAATATTACTCGTAGTCTACTAGGCAAGGTAGTTGGTGCTTTTTCGGGTTTCGAGGATATCTAACAGAGTCAGCTTATAAAAAGTCTTTTAACAAAACGGTGTCTTTTTTGATGAAATATGTAACAAGTTACGTATGAGTTTGTATGTATATTTGTTATAAAGTACATATAATTAAAAACCTCTTTCAATTGCATTTAATTTATAGTTTTTAACATGTTCGAGTGCTTTCAGTGATCAGCGAATGAATTTCTCAATTTCATTCAGGGGCCACCCTCGTACAAAACATTTTATCGTTTGCCTCCATTAATAGTGAAGTGTTTTCTCATATTTGGCGCATGACTATAATGTGTTCGTGATCTTGGAGGGTTAGTAGGGAAAGGGATTGTTAGTGAAAACTCATAAATAAGACAAATAAAACTACATTTGTTCAATTTGTGGCACTTTTCTCTAAGTGGTAAGTCTTGACAGTGTATACTGTATTTATAGAGCGTAATGAGGTAAGGCTCTTAAAGTCCATACAACATAGCACAATTGGCGAAAATTTTACATAGAGAAATTATAGGCATTTTAAGTAAATACCATATAATACATCTAAGAACTAACTTGTTTAATTTAATGTTTTAAATACACTTTTCTTTAATTAATTATTTCAAATTAAATTATCCTTCGTTGTTCCAGACTCCTTCAGACGGTAGATATATGTATGTATGTATTTGTGCTGTAAATTAAAAGCGGCTGGCTTCGAAGCAAAACCAATTTTATGATCTTTTTATTCTAATGAATAACTAATGATACCCACACACATGTACATATGTATATGTAAATATGTACATTTGGATGTACGAATTCCCACAATTATCTTTTCGAGTGTTTTTATTGTTTTGACGCTTTCATATTTCATATTCTTCCCTGCCACTGGAATTGTTTAATTACCGCCTTGAAACATGATTAGTTGACACTGATTTTTTAGATAATGACATTTCCGAGAGTATATGTACGTATTTCATATACTTAGTGGCGTCTGCAGATGCGTGCTCCATGCGTGCTCTGATGTTCCCATTTGCTTGTCAAACAGTTTTGCCTTGTTGTAAATGAAATCTTCCATTTCATTATGTAAATTTTTTTTACAGTTTTCTTTAAGAGTGATACATACAAACATACCCAAGGAATCATTAGGTACTTTAGCCATTTGTAATCACTAATTGATTATTTTGTTAATTAGCGTATGCCATACGTACATATGTACATATGTATGCATGTGATTTCATGGTGATAGGACTTGAATAAGATAATATATATTTTTATACTCTCGCAACAATGTTGCTAAAGAGAGTATTATAGTTTTGTTCACATAACGGTTGTTTGTAAGTCCCAAAACTAAAAGAGTCAGATATAGGGTTATATATACCAAAATGATCAGGGTGACGA